AAAAATCCGATTTAAATTTTAAAAATCCAATTTAAATAAAAAATCCAATTTAAATAAAAAATCCGATTTAAATAAAAAAATCCGATTTAAATAAAAAATCCAATTTAAATAAAAAATCCAATTTAAATAAAAAAATCCAATTTAAATTTTAAAAATCCGATTTGAATCGAAAGACTTTTTTTTTTTAAAAAAAATTAAATTTAAACCTCATTGATTTTTATGCACCCTGGAGGTGATCTAGGGAAGGCGTACAGGATACGCACAGCTTTACCTTGCCCTTGTAGAGGATAACGGGGCAGACAAACCGGCCTCTACATCGGGCCATTTTACTGCGGTGGATCAGGTCTTGCAGCTTGCTAATCTGGACGGTGCTTTCAAACCTGTGGGGAGCAAAGCAGTTCATTAGTTGTACGGGCATCCTTTGGAATGAGGAGGGATGCGTCACGTGGAGGCATGCAAATTCCTACCTGGGCATTTGGCATCATCAGCCTTCCATAGCTTGGCTGCTTTGGTTTGTCCCTTCTGAAGCCAATAGTTTGAGAGAAGGGAGAGAAGGACTCGCTTTGCGAAACAACCTCCTGCTTTTGCAAACTTTGTGGCCATAAGAGAAGCACCCGTACGAAGTGTAGGTTGTGTTATAGAAGTGTACAAGCACATTCTGGCCTCCAAAGGGAAAGACAATGTTTTAAAGTTTGGTTTCACATAGCTTTTCGGACCTAGGCTTCCCAAGAGCATGAAGCAAACCCCTTGTTCCGACAAAAAACCCTTTTATTAATTTACTGTGAATTCTGCTCATTCACATCTAGCAAAGTCTTTCAAGGGAGGATTTACAGTCACAGACCTTATCTGGCTTGGAGAGCTGCCAGGCTGATATCTGCAAAACTTAGCAAGGAGTCTCTGAGCATCACAAACCAATTAAGCAAACTAACTGTCTCCTGCAAACTCCACTCCCCTTTCGCTCCTTTTTTTATTTCCTCTGGGAGGGGCCATTCATCGTCCACCTATGGCCTTACTCCCAAGATGACTCCTATTCTTTAGCTGTTCCCTTCGTCTGGCAACTCTGCGCATACACACACTGGGAACAGGCTCCAGCTGTTCCTCTGCCTCTCTGATGTCTGACTCCGAAGGCAGCTGATAACTGGCATACTGCTCTGGCCCCCTCTCTGCCTCCAAGACAGAGCCCTCATCAGAGCCTTCTCTAGACTCCAGGACTGGCCCATGTTCCTCCCCCACCTCCTCACTGTCCGAATCTACTGCCAGCTCCACTGGCGGGCCACAACACTAACTAGTTTTATTTCTCCCCCCCCCACCAGCTGAAATCCATTTAAAAGTGAAAATATGTGTACACATTCCTCTGAAAAGATTCCCTTTTTACACAGGCTTTCTTCTGACATGTCTATTTTTGGAACTGCAAACCACATTACAAAAAAAAATGGAGAAAAGTAGATTTGGTGATACAAGGATGTTGCTTTTATACTTCTCCAGGTCTTGTCAGAGGGCAGGATAAAAATGGAAAATGACATAAATAATTCTGCTCATCAGGTTCAACAGAGGAGGTCGAAATATTCAGGGCTGTGAATGTTCAAGAGACAAGGCAGCAAGGCTCCCAAAATCACTTTTAGCCACTTCTAAACCATGCTGTCTTTAGAAATCACGTTCTTTTCCCTGCACAAAGGACTGGGGGCCCCAAAGGCTGACATTGAGGAAAACGTTTGCATCTTCTTCAGCGTGGAAGTTTAATCAAGGAAACATGATGTCGGAATGAGTTGCTTGGTGTCACCCCTTCCATGTTTCAGAAATAAAAGACGGTGCTTCAAATTGAGTCCTAGTGGACAACCATTTAAATATGAGCCAGCAGTGTGCACCAGGCACAGAAACAAAACCAGAGGAAACCCACACTACACGGTTAATCTCACATATAGCCTCCGAAACAGCCAAAACCTTAGAATAAACAAAGATGTTACTTACTCTGGTTAATCTGGATAACACAGAGGGAATCCTGGACACCTGACAAACTCTCAATGAAATCAGATTTAAGGCTGTGCAATAACTGTATGCTATATATTCCGTGATGGTGAACCCACAGCACACGTGCCACAGGTGGCATGTGGAGCCATTTCTGAGGGCATGCAAGGCATTGCCCTGTCAGCTCCAGCATGCCAGCTAATTTTCGGCCTTGATTTTTGGCTGTTTTTCACCCTTCGGAGGCTTCTGGGAAGCCTCCTGAAGCCTCTGGAGGGACAAAAACGGCCCAACGGGCAACTCAGAAGTCCATTCCCGAATTTCCAGTTTGCGTGTTGGGCCGTTTTTGCTGTCCCCAAATTCCTAGAAAGCCTCTGGAGGCTGGGGAGGGTGAAAAATGGACCTACCAGGCCCACCAGAAGTCGGAAAATGGGCCGTTTCCGATCTCCAGAGGGGCCGTTTCACCCTCCCCAGGTTCCAAGAAAGCCATGCGTGCATATGCAGGGGGTCATGCTTGCATGCAATAGCGCACACTTGTGTGCTTTTGGCACCCGAGCCAAAAAAGGTTCTCCATCACTGCTATACAATCCTAATCTGACTCTGGACTAAATCCAACTCAGAAATGAAAATTTCCTTTTTCCTCTGTCACTTTTTTTGCAGTCTTCAATTCTCCCAAATTCATATATGAGGGAACTTGATTCACCAACAGGGTGTTTACCATCATCAGAATTTTGAATTCAACCCTTTGTCTTGAAATTGGCCTGCACAACTGGCTGAAATGAATGTTTCCTTCTACTGACCGCACAGAAGCAACACAGAAATTTGTGCAACTGTTACAAAAGGCCGAAGAACTGATGGATTGCTCCCCATGGGGCATAAGAACATACTCAATCATTTATTCTTATTCAAGGGAAATAAATATTTTTAATGTTTTATTCAAGTTATGAAATCAATTTATAGGGCCACTCTGGGCAGCCAGCATCACATTAAAAGTACATTCGGCCCTTTTTCTGTTTTAGATAAAACATTGGAGTGGAAGCAAAGTTCAGATTGACTATGACAGCTTGCCGGGTGATTATTTATACGCTACATGTTGCTACGATTTGGGTCAGGAAGAACCCTCTTCTTTAGCCTTCGGCGGAGGTACTTTCGTCTGTGGGATTATTTAAAAAAAATTAAGTACATTCTAGAACAGTGGTTTTTTAACCTCAGCAACTTTGAGGTGTGTGGACTTCAACTTTTCCAGGAATTTCCCAGGATTAGGGGAACCTGGGAGTTGAAATCCACACACTTTAAAGAGGATAGGAAACACTGTTCTAGTGTTGCAATGCATTCTAGTGCCAAGCCATTAGGTTTACAAAAAGTTGCAACTTAGCACTCTAAATTACACTTGGAAATGCACCAGCCATTCCTGGAGGGCCATTAAAGTTGCTTCAGAGAAATATCTGGCCAGTTCCTCTTTCACTTCTCTTCAGGCTAGATATACAAGTTTGGCTTCAAATCAAGGAACAAACAGCAATTGCGGAACTGAGAAAATGTGGTGTGTGTTTTCTTTTCATCGTGTTGCAGCTATTTCTACATGGTTTAAAATTTCAAAAACTTGCCTCCTCTTTTGTGAAATGTTGGATAGATTCTAAGAAAAAGGATTGGCTACCACCATATGGTTTCCCCCCCCCCTTCATTGGGCAACATGGTTCTTTTTTTAAAAAAATAATAATTTTATTTTAATTGCATATTTTTAGATGTCTCCACAGAAAGGCAATATATGCATGTATAAATCAACTTCTGTTAGGTGAAGTTCAACCTTCAACCCTGAAATAAGTGTACAGATCTAGTGTTTTCCTGCAAAAACTAACATCAATATTTGAAAAAAAAATATTAGTTGTGGAGCGTTTCATACAGCACAGCTGCAATTTTTCACCCAGCTGTGGTAAAAGAGGCAGACAAGCCACCTGCAAGGCCTAGAGATGCCAAGAATACCAATCCTTTTGAACTTGCGGTTCCTAGAGGCACAAAGAAGTCCACCATTTTTCAACCTAAAGTGGCGTTTCTCAATCTTAGTATCCTGAAGATGTCTGGACCAACTCCCAAAATTCCTCTGCCAGCATTCTGACTGGTGAGTTCTGGGACTTGAAGTCCATACATCTTCAAGTTTCTAAGATTGAGAAATACTGGCCTCTCATGAACTGTTCCTCCAACATAGTTTGTTGTGACTTGTAAGTGACAACTCTGAAAAAAGGGCACATTTTGCACTGCAAAGTATTAGGAAAGAAGTGGAAAAATGAACCTCATACTGTTTAGAGTGCTGTGCGTTTTTCTAGTCACTACACATCGAATATTATACAAAGGCCCTAGTGAGTAACATCACATTTACAACTTAGGTTTTTTTTATTCAGATAAGGTAGAATATGATAGAGGTGTCAAAGACAGGAAGAAAAATTTCCCCTCTTTTCTGAAAACACTAGATGTGGGATTCATCTGACATGAAGATGAATCATATCAGGTAGAGGTTTGGGACAGAAAGAAAGTGGTTTACTGACGGAAGAGTGTAGCTCAGGATTGAACTGTGGGGTCCTTGGTGTTTTCTGGGCTCACCCATGCTCAGAAACACACCTTTCTATGGGGCCCTTTATGCTCTCTGAGCTTGGTGGTTTTCTTGCAGATGTTTTGTTACCAAACGAGATATCATTCGCACTTGTGACATCAGTGCACTGATGTGACCTAGTTTGGTAACGGAAATATCTGCAAGAAAACCACCGAGCTCAGAGAGCATTAAGGACCCCAATAAAAAGGTGTGCTTCTGAGCATGGTGCATTATCTTACTCTGGAACTTACTGTCACAACATACGGTTATTGTTTTGGATGATTTCCCAAGAGGATAAAGGTTTTGCATTCATTCACCTCTCAAGGCCTTTTGTTATGACTGCTCTATAGTTTCTCTAGTGTTGGAGGTAATATGCCTCCTGATCCTAGTTGCTTGGGAGCTGAAGTGACTTCTGATTTGCTTGTGCGTTTCAGGTTGGCCACAGGGAGAAGAGAATTCTAAACTATGTACGCTGAACTCTGAGATGATCCAAAGTTATTCTTCTTAGGTTTTTTTATGGTTTAATGCCAACTCAATTAAGCTTCCCGGTCAATTTTAAAAGGCCTCTACAAGCCAACAATTTCTATGATAACCCAAGCCTTTGGTAGTGAAAGATACATAAATTATAGTATTACAAGTATTAAAAAGCATGAGCGCAGAGCAAGCATTGCCAATTAAGTTTGAATATCCCAAAGAGTATTCTATGACTGTACAGTTCATATATCCATCCAACCAGCAGTAAATTTGTGTGATAAAAGTCATGTCGTATGGACACACAACTACTCCATTGCCAGCCTCTGCCAAGGGTTGGCAGGGGCGGGGGGGAACAATCTA